AATTATATCATGCTCGATAGTCATGACACCCCCGTTTCTTGGCATAAGTAATCATCTGAGAGACAACAAGGAGTTTTAAAAACTTGTTTTGGAAGCTATAGTCGCTAGATCTTGCTTTCCAGTGGAGTGGAAGAGGTTCCATGACGCATAGAAGTTCAGGGCAGAGCAATAGCAGCAGTACTCAAGATGTGGACTCTGCAGTGATGTTATTACAAGTATTACATTCTATTTAAAGCAGAAATGCTTGCTTATTGGCTCGTTTATCAATGCTCACTCTAGCCATGGGGCTTAGGAGAAGCCTCACGTAAGCTGCATATTTGCATCCTTCTGGGGTGAGGCTGTGAGGACTGGCCAGATGGCATTCCTTACAGTAAACACCAGTCCCTGCACAATCGCAATGCTTTTTATTTCCTCGCACTCTACAATCTACCCTTACTTTTGTGGCAAGATGCCTTTACCACAAAAGCACCCGATTTCTCATACGAAGAGCGATTCTGAACAAGATGAATGGCCGATTCTCAGCACAAACGATCATGAGCTTCTGCCCCCACGTGAAGCACGGAGCCCAGATCCGGCGAGGAACGGAACTGGGCCCAGTAAAACTGTCAGAGAATTCACCGGGCTTGCTTCCATCAAGCGCAAGAGCGATAGGTTCTGGGCGGCTTGGAATGTATACGTAAACAAGCCCTGGAACATGTACGTTTTGGTCATCATTGGCACCTTCTTCGCCGTCGGACATCACCTATTCTTACCTTCATCTCAATGGTAAAGAAGCTATCAACCAGCCTATGATGTTGCGTTACGGCACCGTCATCGCATTCTTTGCTAAAGCTAGTCTCGGCACAGCTGTCACTATCGCTTTTCATCAAAGAGCGTGGAGAGTAGTCCGGTTCAAAACAGCCCGGGTTGAGACCATCGACTCAATCTTCACTGCTAACACGGATATCTTCTCTCTCTTGACGTGGAGCTCTATTCGGAAGGCGAAAATTGGGACTCTTCTTGCCCTCTAGTGTTGGGTCACTCCTCTTGTTGTGATATTAACATCAGAAACTCTCTCAGTCGTGGTTGGGGTGTTTGAAGAAGGCCATTCATGCACTTCTGTTCGGACTTTGAACTTTGAGAACGAGGAGAAGGTGTATTGGCGGGATCCTCAGAAGATAGATGACCAGTATGTGATGTCCGTGTCTCTATGGAATTCGACGCTTGACTATGGTGAGAGTCCTTCGGACTCGGACGTAGAGGGCTTTGACTATTACCATAGTTCGAGCAATCAGTTCGACATGTTGATTGCCACCAAAACGACACTAATGGGCGAAGCCATAGTTCGAAAGGAGTCAGGGCTTGAGATCTGTGGACAAGGCTGGAACTGCTCCTATGTAGCCAACTTTGTTGCTCCTGGCTACAAGTGCCAAGAATTAGCATCAGGAGTGGATTCCGAGGTCAAGAAGCTTGGGAATGTCACAGTACCCTTCAACACCTCTGTGATAGCGCCAGTGGGGAACCGAACCTATTATGCCATCAACGACCGAGGTGAATATGGTGATCCCCAGATGTCGTCTCACGCTGGGGGGAAGCCGAAGGAAGATCCCCCTTATCCGGACAACTTTGGAGCCTTCAGAACAGAGCCTATTATGTGGATTGGCTACGCGAATGTGGATGATCTCTCGGTCCCTCAGCCAGATACGCCAGGCACAGAGGTATGGATGGAGGCCTATACACCTGTATCATCGGGTGCAAACATTACGAGGTTAACTACACCGCCCAGTTCAATTACACAGGCGGTGCACAATTTGTTGACATCAAGAGGCGCGAATACCTGAGAAAGGTGGTTGATACGACTTACATACCCGAGAAAGACCCCGACAAGAGACTGAAAGACCGAACGCAAGCTGTTCCCGAGAGCAACTACATATTCCCCACCGATGTCAAGAAATGCCGCCGAACAGCAGCTTACCATTCCATTGGCTCTGGGTTGAGAAAATACCTTAATGGAACTACGACGATGCCACATTATAACGTAAATTCAGAGCTGCTATATACTCGGTTAATCACACCCGTAAACTACCTCCCGATCAAGAACTTTCGGCAGGGCATACAGAGCCTTTATGAGGACATGATCATTTCGATCTTTTCAGAACCTTCCTTCAGTGTAGTCTCGTGGGCGGCTAATGGGAAACCGTCTGGTATTGCTAAGGGAGGTCTGTCAACGGCCTATCCTTGCCGGCGTCAGAGGATAGCTACTTTCTTTCACTACAACATGGCCCAGCTTCTTAGCGTTTATGCCGCAAGTATATTTTTGGCGGGTATTGGCGTGTTATTATGGATGCAGGCTTATCTTGAGGAAGGTAGTATGCGCGATATGAAGCCATCTTCGATCATAGAAGCTTTGCGGGCGTCGAATCTTCACGTTCTGGGGGCACGGCAAGGAGGGGGTGTTAAGATTGGATATGGACTTGTACATGAATAGGCTGGTAGAAGTGTGAGAAGCTTTGGGGTTGAAGGAAATGTGCAGCAGTAATGACAAAGGACGACTAGAATACACGATCGGTAGAAATGTAGAAGATGTATTATGCTAGCTTTGATCATAGCACAGGATATTTGCCCAGTCAAGATTGAACCGGTCTGTGATAATGCCCGGATTGACGCTCGGCATGATCAAAGATCAGCGAGCAGCACGGATACACGGAGTCAATGGGAGTGCTTGACAGGTTATACGGGAGTCTACGCTACCTTACTTAAGTGCCACTAAGGCCAGGCATAGAGTCTTCACGTGTTTTAGATGCTCGGCTCTCGAAAAGAAATAAACACAGCATCCTTTCCCACCATTGGAATATTCGCTCAGGACCCTGGGCGTTACTGCCGATGGGGACTTGCTGTAAGATGCGACCGTTAGTCAGTGATGACTGGAAGCTGAGGCAGTATGTCGCCGATAAAGTAGATACTCCGAGCACTGACATCTCACCCATGGCTGCTTTGGCCCGCGCCATGTGCAAATGTAGGAGAGTTACCGGTAGGGAGAGATGGTACAGCAGTGCCGGCATTCGAGACTGATGCCTGCAGCCAGTCCAGCGCCCTGGCATCGTGACATTACTACCAGTTCTGGTCATAAATATTGTTCCGGAACTGAAATACATAATGTCAGTATGAGAATTCATAAAGGCAACATGCCATTGTCAGCTGAATGTCACGCCTATCATATGTCCATCAAGGAGCATGGAGAAAGCGCTCTTGTGAGCCATTGCTCTGCTAGACTTATCAAGTACCATTTCAATTACCCTTACCACGACTGTCTACCCGGTTTCGCATTCTTTCATGTCGGCCAGCTGAACCAGCCCTGGGCGACGTGCTCAATCATGGCCCCGCGGTTCGTTGGTGTCTATAAGTTGAAAATGATGTATCGGGCCAAGAGTAATGCTGAACAATGGTTCCATGATGCATCAGCCGTCGGAAGATGAACTATGAGATTTTGGCTTCATTATTCGTGATTGAACCGCTGACAGATAAGTCTGGTGAAGTCGCTACGTGTAAGTGCCCTGCGACAAATATTTAAAACGCGGTACCACGACGTTCTTGGCTAGCACGCGATATATTGCTCGGTTGATTATAATATTGAGTCGTTTTCATTGGTTAGGATACTTCCAAATGTTATTTGACCATTCAGCGAGACCGCTAGGTCATCGAGGCGGCCATTTGTCGAGTCCCATGCATCGGGCGACAACCACTGCGTCCTCTGTAAGACCCCTACCATATCACTTCTACCTCTAGCTATGGCGCTTAGGTCCTTTAAAAAGCTGATACTATTTGACCATAGGCTTTTTATCATTGTTTGCTTGCAGATGTCGGGTATCGACCTGTTGTTGAACCATGCCTTGCATTCCCGGCTGAGCTTAGCTACCCATCCGCAGCCGCTTTTGTGTACTGCCCGGCACAGTATACATGCTTGTTATAGGTGACTTTACTCAAATGATCCGGCAATTCATTGAACAATTGCACCATCCGCCGTCAGGCGCATGACCCTCAGCGGCGATGTAAGCCGTCTCCCGTGTCATAGATCGACAACACTTCCGAATGACTGCATATCAAACAACTGCCAGCGTCTCTCAACCTACCGAGGGCGGCATCCCCGCATATATGCACCTCCCTTTCTCAGGCTTTAGAGTGGGTTGACTGTTGTGCCTCATAGTGATGTCTCGGCAGCTGCAGCATTGGCTCAAATGCCGACCACGGCCCGCGGCCTTCTGTTCCAGCGCATCATATCGAACCACTCCGGACCATTCTTCAAACAAACTGACACATATACTTTCCAATAGCTTTGAGGACTCAAAGTTTGTCAAGAATAGAAACTCATATCCAATTGAAGTATTGAGGTGATCTTCGGTTACTCGGCCGTTAGTGCTGAGGCTTAGACATGCACGATACGAGTATGATGAAACCAATGAAGAAGATACACCACCGTCAAACCACAGCAACCAGAAACTCTACAAAGCTAAAACCTTTTCTCTATTTTTTTCATGGTCTCGTGCTTCAAGATCTGCAGTGGCTCTGACAGCTGTCGGGGTTCCGGGAGTGTTTCGGGCAGTCCACGGAGTCCGTGCAACACCAAACTCCGCGCTCCTCGGCGAGTGAATATTGGACGACACAGGAACGAGTCTTATGTAATCATTCATCGGGCTTATGGTCTAGGGGTATGATTTTCCCTTCGCATCTTCAGTCTGACAAGATCAGAAGCAAGATCTCTGGGAAAGGTCCGGGGTTCAATTCCCCGTGAGTCCATGGTTTTGCTATCCGTAGCTGTTCTTTTTGTTAGTTGCGATTGCGGTTGGATGATTGACTATCATGGGATGTTTGGTGGTGGTGAGGGGATATTGAAGATATTTGAGTTAGGAGAAGCTTTGGCGAAAAAGGATGTTTGGAGTCAAAGCTCCTGGCACTGAAACAACTGCAGTTTGAATAGGATACGGATGTAATATAGTGACAGAGCAAAAAGAAAAATAATCAGATGGACTCACGGGGAATTGAACCCCGGACCTTTCCCAAGCGTCGATTTAAAGATGCGAAGGGAAAATCATACCCCTAGACCATAAGCCCTATCATTGGTTAATGATTTCGTTGAGGAATTGAGTGTGGAATGCATCTATGATTTGAGTTCGGACAGACACGCTTGGCACGTCGGATCCAATAATTGATGAGAGTAACAAGTTCACTGCGAATGATGAAAATAATTTCTTGAACATCAGCCTGATATTGTCGCGAATTGTTTAAGCGAAAAGGTCTGGAACATTATGCTGATCGATCGAGATTCGAGATGCTCAGAAAAGTAAGTCTCCATCGTGCTACGTAGCACAACCACACAAGTCGCCTATCATCATTTTGTCTTGCAGCGAGTAATGTCTGGGACGCATCAGTCGCACAACTCCAGTGCCGAGTATATATCTACAATCTACGTCATGAATCTAATACTCAAAAAACCAGCACCAAACATCTACTCACTTTCCCTCAAATCTCAAACAATAGCGCAGTGTTGATGAGTTGTCCAAATAACATTCAGGTGTAGGGTGGTTCATCAAACATGGAGATGACTGCACTCGAGGTCTCTGCACGTTCACACAGGAAGAATAAGCTTAAAAATTAACAGAATCCTGATTTGGAAACAAGGGTTCACAAGCCAAGAGATTTACTGCGCAAAGTGGATGCCAAGCTGTGTTCTCAGCCTGTGGTTCTGTGTAGATGAAACAGCTGTCCTTGTCTTTATCTGGAGAAGCTGTGATGTAATTGTTGCGGGTGGTAATCTAGTGGCGTTGGCTGGTGGATTACAGATGAAGAGGCTTCTGTATCCGTTGATTACGTTATTTCCGTAAGAGTACCAAATGTCTGATGTATCAGCAGATTAAAATCACAGTCATCATGAATAATGCTTTGTTATATTCCCGCGGATATACAATCTGCTACAGAGGAGAGGCTCTAAAGGATATTGCGGATGTCCCGGCACTAACTGACCCCTGGGCGCCAAACCCTTTTTTTCGGGGCTGGAGATGACTGGCCATAGCGGAATCAACTTGTGACGTAGTGCGACCCACTCCGGCACTACCTTTACGTAGGAGGTACGCTACGTACGGGCCGGTTCAACTAAAGTTTTCTTGTTTTGAGAAAATGGCTGATCTTCACTGACAAGCGCTTAATCAAGGCCTGAGACTAAACCCAAATTGCTCATGTTGTGACGACTGACTAATTCCAGCCTCTACCGTCCAGTTCAGTATCACTACAACTTTTCTCACCTCATCTCGACTCCCTCTTTTTTTTCTCTTCTATTTACTCTCTCTGTCCCTTCTACCATGCATCTTCATGGGCATGGCTTCCAATAATAACCGCCTTCAGCCCTCGGGCCATCTCAACGTAACGGGCCATTACAATAATCGTCGCTCTCCAAGTCCCGTGCCTCCCGATCCCGGTAGTCCAGGCCCCGTCGAAGAAACAGCATCGGATTACTTCAACCCGCTGAGCCAAGCGCCGTCAGCGCAGTCGCAGACATCGCTATCGTCGTTCCCGCGCTTTCCATCGCAAACATCCCTTTCGGCATTTCCATCCTATCAAGAATCGAATTATTCACAACAGCAGCAGCAGCAGACGAGACGACGACCGCCAGTCGATCAGGCTAGACAGCCTAGTATTCGCATCCGCCGAAATTCAAACGGGTCGGTCTATTCGAATCATAGTGTGACGAGCCAGTTTGATGGGTTTAGTGATGATGGGAGACCGAGGAGCATCTCGCAGCCTGAGCGCGCGAGGGTCTCGGATGGGCTGGCTCGTCATTCCAGGAGGGTCCCGCAGGTGGCGATGCCGCGACTTACAGAGGAGGGAGGCAGACCGAGTCTGGCCGAGTTAGGGATCAGTGATGATCAGTCTGCTCCTTTGTCGCCGACGGCTTCGCTTCCTGATGAGAACACGAATGGGAGGGGCGGGCTTGGTCGGCTGCGTCGGGCGAGCCGCTTCTTCTGGCCTGGCCATCGTCGGCAATCTGGCGAGGATCAAACGGCTGTACCTATGGGGCAGCGAGATGACGATCGTCGCGATGATGAATACGACCAGGAACTTGTGGATTGGCTCGATGTCATCGGTAAGAACACTCACGCCATCTACACCACCAAATCTAACAATCACAGACCCCGAAGTCCAAACCCTTTCAACACTTACAAACGTCCAAAACTCCCTCTTCGTTCCCGATCTCGGAAAATGGGTCAACCGTCGACCGACATACACTCTATCCCGACACGATCCCCAAGCAGACTGGGCCCGAGGCGCCGTTGAGCAGGAACGACGTCGCGAAGCTGCACTGGAAGCACAAGAGACCGCTACGATCCCACCGATTGCAGAAGCTGAAGCAGAAGAAGAGGACGAACCTCGTCTTCCGCAGCGGAGTAACACTATCACTTCGCGTTTGACAGACTCGCACTACGCGGCGCTTCCACATGGAACGAACCTTGATGGCTGGACGCCGGAGGAAAAGGCCGAGTTGGATGATCATGTTCGACATATGCTGCACTCTCGACGTGCGCGGTTCAAGCGTCGCATGAAGGGCTTTGGTCAATACGTCAGACGTCCTCTCGGTTTCCTCGTTACACTCTACGCTACACTTATCACGCTCTTCGGTCTGGCTTGGGTTCTCTTCCTCATCGGCTGGATCTACGTCGGCGAGAAACAAGTCTACGCAATTCACGTCATCGACAGTGTTCTTGTCGCGCTTTTCGCCGTCATGGGTGATGGCCTCGCGCCCTTCCGTGCTGTCGATACATACCACATGTTTTTCATCTGGCGCTTCTCGCGATTGATCAAGAGAGCTGAACAGGGAAAGAAACCGAGGAATAGATTACAGAAGAAGCGTGTTCCACCGGGTGTGTCTACGAATCCGGAGCATTCGCACTTGACGGGCCATCAGGCTCGCGCTCTTCTCGAAGCTCAGGACTATAATCCTGAGAGAGACGGAACTGTCGGCACGATCGACAACCAACCTCAACCGAAACCTGAAAGTCCCGAGACTGTTGATTTAGAAGGCGCAAAGTCCAACAGCCCTGAATCAGACATGCCTGCTCTGACGTTTGCTCAGTTCAAGAGCCTGCAGCACCATCAGAAGAAAATGGCCAAGTCACACAGTTTCTACAAACCCAACGAGACATTCACCCACTTCGCCTTCCCCCAAAAGTATCTCATCGCCATCGTCATCCTCCTTGACTGCCACTCCTGTCTTCAAATATCCCTCGGCGCATGTACATGGGGCATCGACTACCACACGCGTCCGTTCGCTCTGACCACCGTGATCCTCTGTGTGAGCATAACCTGCAACATCACAGCTGGTCTGCTCATCAGCATCGGCGATCGGAAGACGCGAAAGAAGGACGTGTGGGAGCTGCTGGATAGACAGGAGTTGACACAGGATGCTATGAAGCATATGGAGAAGAAGAAGAAGGAGGAGGAGAAGGAGAAAGAAAAGGAGAGGGGGTCGGATAAGGATGGGGAGTCGAGTAAGGGTGATGGATCGAGTAGTAGGACGTCGAAGGAGTTTAAAAAGTTGGTGAAGCAGAACAGTTAGGGGGTGAAGGATGAGGATGAGGATATATGTGGATACGATGATTACGGTCAATAAATAGTTGATACCTACCTAATTTACATAGATCATGAACACGAATACTTGTATCACACCCTTGGTCTCTTCTTAGTCTTCATGCATGTCACCAACTGTAACCACGTCATCTATTGACACCCCTATGTCGCTTATAAAGTACCAACCCACTGGGAGTTGACATCTCCGGCAGTTCGGTCCGCCGCTTATCTGTCGATCAGACGATGATGGGCCAATGCGCCTGACTTCGGTAACCGTATCTGATTATTCTCATGCCATGAGAGATCTACGAAAATTCTGTTTCTTGATGACCCCGCTTGGGGTTTTGTGGTGCGATGGGTCGTGGAATGGCCTGTGCCTCGGGCGAGGGTGGTTCAGTGTCATCGTCAAAGTTTTACTTGTAAGTGAGTAAGCTGTGGGTGAAAACGGGACAATGTATAGAGACGCTGAGAGCACAATGCGAGAGTGTGTAAGTGAGTAGAGCGGATTCAGAGTGACATCACGGTCGAGCAGTGATGTGAATTAGTACCATCTCGTGGCCTTCAGTATAGCATTTGTAAATAGTATAGTATAATATAGCATATCGACATCATCATCGACCCTTCAAACATTTTTTCTTACACACACGTATCCTTCCTCATTCTCTTACATTTTAACCATCATCAGATCCCAATTATGAGGAAGCGTTCTGGCCGAAACTTGAAAGCTGATTGGTGACGACGAGACCAGCGACACTGGCAGAGGTGAGAGTGGCGAGAACACCAGAGATGAGAGCGGAGACTGCAAGCTTGGCAACATCACCGCCGCGAGAGGGGGCGAGCTGGCTGAGGATACCGATCTGGATACCGAGGGAGCCGATGTTGCCGAAGCCGCAGAGGGCGTAGGTGGCGATGAGCTGGGAGCGGGGGGAGAGGCCGTAGAACTCGTTGTTCTCGGGGGAGGGGTTTGTGAGGAGGGAGAAGGCCTTGTACTCGTTCTAGAATGTGTCAGTATCCGGCAAAAAGTATGAGTTAAAGGGGGAGAGGGGGAACGTACGGTGATGATCTTCTCGGCAATGAGCTTGGCGACGGGGAGAATATCGCCTGTGCTGTTGGATCCGTTGGTGCGAGATACACCAAGGAGGAAAGACACGGGGAAGAGAAGGTATCCGAGAATGAGCTGGAGAGTAAGAGGAGTGGGATCGTTGATGTTGAGGTATCGTCCCCACCAGGTCAAGAGACCGTTGATGAATGCGACCAGAGCAATGATGCAGAGAAGAGAGCAGACGATGGTACCGGCGATCTTGATTCCGAGCCAAGCACCATTGGCAAAAGCGTGGAGAGCGTTCTCAGCCTTGTGCTCATCATCATCGGGAATGACTACACGACCAGCTGTGAGAGTCTCTTCAGTCTCGGGATATCGCATCTTGGAAATAGCCAGAGAAGCGGGGATGGACATGATGCAGGATGATACGAGAGCTTCACGGTTGAGACCG